CCCGGGGGCGCCGCGGACGCCCTCGCTCGGCCGCCTCTGGGGCGGGAAGGTCTTTGCGCCCCACAGGGAGCCAGGAGGCCCCGCCGTCCCCTCGAGCTGCCGTCCTTGCGGGAGCTGATACAAGACGAAGTTCAGACGCGTTCCTCTCCCCGCCCCTTCAGAGCGCTCTCGGGGCTTTTGGTATTGTGTCGTTTGAGCCCTTTTAAATATTCCAAAATGCGTAGCACCAGACAGTCAGATGGCCCGGACTAGTCAATAAACTGGATCGTTACGGGTAATCACGGGGAGTTGCATTAGCCTAACCATATTTGCCCCCCAAACTGTCTCCAAGACAACAATTATATTTGAGCCAGAACTTAATTACGTGTTGATCTAGCTTTCTTTTCACAGGAAGTATTACTCATCCAGACACTGGTGTGTTTTAGTTCCCTAAAGCCAATGAAAACATTTTTGGGAAGCCAACCCTGGTTTTTTTCTCCTGAGAAGAGAATTCAATTTACACATTCATGTAATAGGAAGGAGATGTGAAGTTGTCGAGTTTTTTGTTTTTTTGTCCTGACGTTGTCGTTATTAGGTTGTTATAAAATATTTTTCAGACAGATGTAAATGTTGCCAATGTGACCAGTTATGCAAACTTAGAAAGCAGTGTAACACTAAACAGCATCTCGACCGTATGAGTACGTATGTGTTTGGTGCTCATTTGCAATGGAGGGTATGAATTTATCAGTCAACATGCCACGTCATCTGTTGGTCTGACGCAAGAATGGAGAATTCTTATTTTGAAGATTAAATGCTATTCAGGGATTTTTTTTTTTAATCGAGATTAAATGATTTCTTGGTAACGGCGCTTATCTCCAAATGATACTTCTAGTGCTTATTGTTATGAAGATAGAGGCAAGCAGCTCACTTATGTGTGCCTTTTGTGTATGCTCTCTGATGACTACGCTCCTAGACTTTCCAGATGTAAGAATAATCTGTGTTTTCCAGGTGATGACCGGCTGAGACTAAGACCAGAGTGACAATAACGCATGCAAAATGTATATCCCCGCAACATCAGAAGGACTAAAATCCCTCAACGTCCTCTTGTAGTTTGGGGAATCCTTCCTCACACACATTTGTCACTCCTGTTCTAAGAACTTGTCCTTGCTGTAGCCACCATTTGTTCCTTATCCTTTAGATTCCAGCTCACTGGCAGTGGCTGTCCTTGACACCAAGCCAACTGGAAGTCACTACTGGAACTCCTGGAGGCTGTCCCTACCTCTGCGGCTTAAACTGCGTCCTTTCCCTTGCCTGACTTTTTCTCTATGGGATTCATCTGACTGTTAGGAAAATAGAACTATATTTCATTTCCTGTTTCCACCCTCCACACTGACCCAGATTTGCCTGAATCCTGGGCCCAGCACCCTGGCTTTCTATCTAGGACTCATGGGACACCAGCAGCATGGAGGTGTTAAAATGCAAAGTTAAGATGGTGGTTTTACCATCACATTCCCCTGAAGTGCGTGAAACATCAGTGATGAATATGCTGATGGGATGCATTTAAGAAAAATAAAAGAATTGATCAAAAGTACCTTACTAACCAATATTTAATACTTTAGCAAAAATTTCACTTATCTACCACAAGCTTAATATTCTCAAAACTTAAACCATCTGCTGAATGACAGGCCATATGCAGTTATTGACACAACGTAAGTACTATCACTGATATTCTGCTGCTACTAGTTTCAACTCTGAAAATGTCCCAATCTGCAGTATACTATGCACCTTCCCTAAAATCCAGACTTCAGTACCACAAGACTGTATCAGTTTTAGAAGGTATTTTTTTTCTGTTACTGCTCTTCTAATCCTGATCTTTAAATATGACTTGCTTTTGGCTCTCTTGAATTTTTTTATCCCTATGTAATATTTGTATATATCTATGGGGTATATGTTTATACACACATACAATGTGTAATGGTCAAATCAGGGTACTTAGAGGATCCATCACCTAAAACATTTATCATTTCCTTGCATTGGGAACATTTCAGATCTTCTCTTCTAGCTGTTTTTGAAATACACAATATATTGCCATTAACTATAGTCATATAGTCACCGTACAGTACTATCAAACACTAGAACGTATTCCTTCTGTCTAACTGTATTACACATTAACCAACTTCTCTTCACCTGCCCCAACCCCTACTTCCTCTGGTAACCATCATTCTACTTTCTACTTCCATAAGATCATCTTCTTAAACCCCCTCATATGAATGAGAACATGTAGTACTTCCCGCCATTTAGCTCACTTGGCTTATTTCTATCTATGTTGCTGTAAATGACAGGATTTGACTCCCTTTTTTATGGCTAAATAGTAGTTCACTGTGTGAACATACCCATTTTATTTATCCATTAATCTACTGATGGACACTTAGGTTGATTCCATCGCTTGACTATTGGGAATACTGCAATAAACATGGAAGGAAAAAAATACCTTCTAAAACTGATAGAGTCTGGTAGTACTGAAGTCTGGATTTTAGGGAAGGTGCATAATATACTGCAGTAAATAACACTTTGATATACCGATTTATTTCCTTTTTCTTTTCTTTCTTTTTTTTTTTGGTAAATACCCAGTGGAGATATTGCTGGATCATATGGTAATTCTATTTTTAGCTATTTAAGAAACCTCCATCTTGTTTTCCATGAAGTCTGTACTAATTTATATTCCCACCAACAGCCACTCAGCAGTGTATGAGTTTCCTTTTCTATGCATCCTCACCAGCGTTTGCTATTTTTCACCTTTTTTGATAATAGCTATCCTAACATTTTTAGTAATGTTGAGCATTTTTTCATGCACCTCTTGGCTCTTTTGTAAGTTTTCTTTTGAGAAATGTCCAATCCTGTCCTTTGCCCATTTTTTAATGAAATTATTATATATTTTTTTTCAGTTAATTTGTTTGAGTTCTTTGTATATTCTGGGTATTAGTCCCTTGTTGGAGGGATAGATGATAGATATTTTCTCCCATTCTGCAGGTTGTCTCTTTATTGATTGTTTCCTGTGCTGTACAGAAGCTTTTCAGTTTGATATAGTCCCTGATGTCTGTTTTCACTTTCATTCCAGTGCTTTTGCATCCTTAGCCATAAAATCATTCCTAGACCAATCTACTGGAGTATTTCCCCTATGTTTTTTCTATAAATTTTATAATTTCTGGTTTTGCATTTAAGTTTTTAATACATTTTGAGTTGATTTTTTTATATGGTGAGAGAGAAGGATAAAATTTTATTCTTCTGCATATGGATTTCCAGTTTCCCCAGTGCTATTTACTTAAGAGGATATCCTGTTTCCAGTGTATATTCTGGAAAATCAGGTGGTTGAATACATGGAATACATATTTCTGGGTTCTCTGTTCTGTTCTATTGGTGTCTGTGTCTCTTTTTATAACAATACATGCTTTGGGGGTTACTATAGCTTTGTAGTATAATTTGAAATCAGGTAGTGTGTTGCCTTCTGTTTGTTCTTGCACAGCAATGGCTACTTGGGCTACTTGAACTCTGGCTGCTTGGGCTCTTTTGGTTCCATATGAATTTTAGGATTTTTTTTCTATTTCTATGAAAAAATTACATTGGTATTTTGATAGGGATTGCATATAATCAATAGGCTTCTTTAGGTAGTGATATAGTTTGGGTTGTTATCTCCTCTAAATCATATGTTGAAACATGCTCTCCAGTGTTGGAGGTGGGACCTAGTGGGAGGTAACTGAATCATGGAGGTGGATCCCTCATAAATGTCATGGTAATGAGTAAGATCTCCCTCTATTCAAGTGCTCTTTCTGTATTAATTGAAGTGATCATGTGTGTGTGTTTTTTCCTTCACTCTGTTAATGTGATGTGTCTCATTTATTGATTTGTGTACATTAAACCATCCTTGCATCTCTGAGATAAATGCAACTTGATCATGGTGTATTATCTTACTAATGTGTGGTGGATTCTGTTTGCTAGTATTTTGTTGAGGATTTTTGCATCTATGTTCATCAGGGATAGTAGCCTATAATTTTCTTTTTTCTTGAGTCTTTGTCTGGTATCAGAGTAATACTGATCTCATATAAAGACTTACAAAGAACTCCCTCTTTAATTTTTTTGGGATGATTTGAGAATTGGTGTTAATTCTTCTTTATACATTTTGTAGAATTCTATCATAAAGACATTTGGTCCTGGGCTTTTCTTGGTTGGGAGATTTTCATTACCGATTAAATATCATTCCACATTATTATTT